CTTAGGTTAGAAATCTGACTGTTTAGGTGTATTAAATCATCATATTTGAATGGGAAATCATGTAGTTCCGATTGGTTAAGCTTGATTTAGACGTTTTACATGATGCAGGCAAGGCTGTTTCATTGTTGATGTCTAACATTTCGTTGATTTTTGAATGTATGTTTGCAGCTCGAAGAAATCAGGGAAAGGGAAGAGACCAGGAAAAGGAGGAAATAGGTTTTGGAAGAGCATTGGTTTGGGGTTCAAAACTCCTAGAGAGGCAATTGAAGGTCTTATTCTCTTCACTTTCAGATCTGTGATTTATTTTTAATTTGTGAGTTTTTCTTTTAATCTTAATTGGTATGCTGAAGGATGCGTGCATTTTGTTCTGTCGATTTCTCTTTCTTGTCTCAGTTACTGTTATTGTTGATGGGATTATTCGAGTTTATAACTAAATCATGGGAGCCGGGAAGATGGTTTCTGTTTCCCTGAATTATTATTTACTATAATAGTTTCATGTGTCACGAATCTTGCTGTTCGCAAGTTGTGAGGCCTGTAAGAGTGGCATTAGTTATGATCAGGTTAGGCATTTGTGTATTTTAACATTCTGATGGAACTTCATATAGTGGCCTTAGGCATCTTCTTTATTCATTCCATCTAGTATTTGCCCATATCATTAACCTTCAACGTAATTTTAGCTCCAAATACTACACTCTCTGTATTGTCAATCCATAGTCAGTGCTATTTGCTCTACTGTGAAATTCCAGAATCTGCATTTATATTTGTCTAATTAGGTGTATGAATCGAATGTGGATGTGGCCTTTGCATCATTTGAACTTGCCATGGCCCATGGGGTCATGTTTGGTTTAAATTCAATCCTATTATTACTCAACGCATATTATATATGTGTAAAAATTTGTTGCTCTTCATGGGCTGAGTGCACTTTACTATTTGCCTGCAAGGCGTGTTTTGATTTGAACTTTTGTTTTCTGCATCCTCTCATTCTTAGTTTTACTGATGACTGAAGAGTATTTCTTTTGCAGGAACATATATTGATAAGAAGTGTCCATTTACTGGCACTGTTTCTATCAGGGGGCGTATACTTGCTGGTACCTGCCACAGTGCCAAGATGGTGAGAACCATCATTGTCAGACGTAATTATCTGCACTATGTGAAGAAATACCAAAGGTGAGACGCTACTTTCTCGAATTTTAGTTGGTTGATATATATCCTATCTACCAATGAGAATGCTAAGGAGGTTAATTTTTATTCAGGTACGAGAAGAGACACTCTAACATTCCAGCACACATAGCTCCTTGCTTTAGGGTGAAAGAGGGAGACCATGTCATCATTGGCCAGTGCAGGTTTATACATAGACTTCACATGCCTCTGCTGCTTTTAGTCTTGCAACTTTGATTTTAGTTACTTAACATCGCCTATCTTTTGCAGGCCGTTGTCGAAGACAGTGAGGTTTAATGTATTGAAAGTGATTCCTGCGGGATCATCTACAGCTGGTAAAAAGGCTTTCACAGGAATTTAAGTCCAGAATTTTCAGGTCCCGCATTTGTTTATGTCAAGGGATAATATGTTAGCTTGAGCTTTCTTCAGCTAGATGATCTTTTCACTTTATTTATTAACCGAATATTTCATTATTGTGATACTACTGCAATTTTGATTTCCCAAGTTTTGCTTTATTCATCAGGGCCCTCAATTTTGGTTTAATCCAACTATAATTTCTGCTTATTTGACGTAATGCTATCGCTGCCAGTAAAAGATAAAACTGATTTTGATCTTTATACTGGTACCAATAGAATTATGTCTCTTGGAACATGGTTCTTATTTCCTGGTCTCGGATGGAGTCCTGAACTCTTGTTTACTGCGACATTTTAAGGGTATATGAGTAGGGCTTGGGATACCTCTATATTATCAAATCAACTTAAAACACGAGAATCATTTTTTCCAAATGGGCTGTTTCAGTGCTTGATTATTGGTTCTTATTAACCGATAACTTCCCATCTATCAGCTCCATTCCACTGCACCATAGTAACCCTTATTTTTTATGTTCTACAATTGATTGGTCATTGATCTTGGACCGCAATATTTGCGAGTGTGGTTTCCAGTTTTAATCTGTTCATTCTTAATTATCATGTTTTTCTTTCTCTTGAAACATCCGATATGTTATTTATATAGAAAAATATCTACTCATTGTCTGTCGGGGAACAACTTTAATTCAAGAATGGGTATTAGCCAGCTTAAGCATGGATCCTAACATGGTGGTTGGTCAAGGTTTGAATCCCCACCCCTAGTTGAACTAAAGAAATGTAAGATTCAAGATTTCCACTACAGATTTTGACACAATGGCGGATAATCTTAGAGTTACAATTAAAAGTACATGAAACTTTGATGTATATTTATTTGGTTAAAATGTTTATTTCTGTTGTATTTTTTTAAAAGTGACTATTTTGATCATTGGTGGCAAAATTTTGACATAAATTTTATACATAATGAATTTTAATATATTAAGTGTAGTGTTGTGTTTAAATTGTCAGAAAATTTTTGAGATTAAAAATACAATTATTAAACTTGATACACCAAACCACTCCCTAATTAAGAAATTAATAATGTCTCTGTTTTCTGTTAAAGTGAATTAATAATGTTTCTTAAAAATTGTTTGAACTTTAATTTATAAAGAAAAATAGCGTATCTCCAATTGTTAGATGTTTCTGCAGATTTTTAATTACGTTTCTAAATCATATTTTCTTTATTTGGGATGCATTTTTAAATACAAATCTTTTATATATATATATATATATATATATATATATATAAAAGCTATTTTCATTACACTTAAGTCGACTCAATAGTCTTAAAGAAAGTGAAATGAATGTTTCATTAATATCGTCATTCTTTATCTTATCCTAGGTGGATCCACCCATCTATATATTAAAAAATATATATGATGTAAGACATATTAGAAATAGAAAAAATCAATTTACACCATCATCTCCCAAAAATGTAAACAAGAAGCTTATTAGTATGGGAGAAAGATGTATTCAAATTTCAAAGCAAAACAATAGGAAATGATATAATCGATTTAATTTAACTGGATGGCTCATAATTTCAAATTATTATTGCTCCAAAACAATAATTGCAGTCCCTTTCTCATGGCGGGTCTGTAAAATATACCCTACAAACTATACGAAAAAAAATAAAAAAGACATTCTAATATGATTATTTCAAGGGATCAAATATAAATTATTAATTATGATTATACTTTTTAAAAAAAGAAACAAAATGCAACATAAAAAAAAGATTATCATATGGGATTTGTTCAAACAAATAAATCGTAGCTGTTAATTGTTGGCTTTTCCAATTCTCAACTTCTTGGAAATTACTTGATTGTTGTTTTCAACCACATTTTTTATATTTAATTTTTTTAAAGAGCAATTTTTCCTGTGGAAATAATTATTAACAATTTTAAAATAAAAAATAACTTCAATTCTTCTAGAAAAATAGGTGATTTGTAGAAATAGACTATGAACAAAATAATTCAATTTTTTTTTTCCAGACCATAGCTTCCAAATAGTTTCTCTTTCAAATCTTATAGGTTCTGAAATAATATTGTGGATGGAAAAGGAAAATAGAGAAGTTACACGACAAGTGATTTCTACTAGGAATTGTATTAATATGAACGAAGAATATGCCAAGGCAAAACTTCTAGAATATGAAATGCTAATCGGCAATCAATGTACTAAAAAAAAGGAATTAATAAACTTAAAACTATAAATTTAGTCGTTTTCGGGTGAGCCTCCAACCATCAACAATTCAGATCAGATCAGAATAAGCACCTTATCTAGGAATGATTGACTATAAATTTAATCTCTATAGTTTAATTTAGTTATTGAATTTTTAAAAAATATCAATTAATATTTTATCTTATTTGTTCTTGATTGAATTTTAGATTATATTCCTATACTTTTACTATTTTTTTATAACGTTGTATCAATACTAGTCATGAAATATTTACCTAACATATACCAAATTCAATCAAGATTTTGTAAAAGGAGTGATGTTTAATGAAGGGGAAAAGAAATTAATTTTACTCCTAAACTTGTCAAGTTGTATCAATTTTCATCTAAATTGGACCATAGAATTAGATAGATGTTGTAATTTTTACATTCTACTCAATTTTTGCTCCTATTAATCTTGAAAAAAATAACGTTAAAATTTCCAAAACATCATAAATTTCAATGGAAGGAAGCTTTGAACAAAATTATGTTTAATCAATGCACAACCCATTAAACAACTCTACCAAAACTCACTAATTTTAACTAAAAAAAACTATAATGTCATTTTTAAAAATCTCATCGATTTTGTACCAGACATGTTTTTTAATTCATTCAACGTAGATGAGAATACTTATTTTAACGAATATTTATACAAAAACTTATTAGAAACTAAAAATTGAAACACTTTTGTAAGTTTAAGGTAAATAAAAATTCAATTGGATTGAAACTAAAAGTTTAAGGTAAAAATTGATTATTATATTTTTCCTATTGAATAAGGATGCTAACAATAGAAACCTAATTGAAAAGTAATGCAGGGAACTGAAGTTCAACGGATTGGAAGTTGCTTGTAAATTAGATGGTTGAATTAGAGCTCAAAGCTTATGCAATTATGAATATGAGTTGATTTTTTTAGTAGTTGGCCCACAAGCAAGCCGATATTAGAATATAGAGTTTGAAATTGTCGCATTTTTCTCTGTCCCAATCCATTCATTTCATTTATGTCAACTTGTTCGATTTTATTCCAAATTGACTTCCTACACTTCATATTCATTCATCAATCATCACTTTGATTTGATCAACATCTCCCTTAATTTCATCATTGTTATTGCAAGGAAGGTTCCTACTCCCAAATTTACCATTTATTTTTCTTTTCCGGACGGAAATTCTTACCAATGAAGTCTCTTTTTTCTCATGTATTATATTAGAAATATATACAAGTGTCATTTCGATCTTATGATACGCGAGGTAGGTTAAAATGTGTATATATATTTGTTTTTTTTTTAAATACAACATGTATGAGTGAGATTCGAACTTACGACCTTTCAATTGGAGATAGATACCTTAACCAATGAGCAATTCGTAATTAAAAACTTCTTTTTTGAAAGTGAGGATTCAGATTCACCGAGAGACTAAACTCTTTCATTTATTATATTTTAAATTTAAAATAAAAAATTATCTTAAAGGTTGAGAAATCGAATGGAATAAATTTGAAAGTTTCAAAGGATACTTAAAAGCTATTATATAATTTGAATTATTGGATACAGACCACAAATTGGATTTTATTTATTATTATTATGGTGAAGGATCACATTTGCACCTTTCTTTCCTATGTATTGTTGAAAGTCAACTTTATTTCCGTTATTCTGATTCGAGATCCAATTAATTTCAATCAAAAACTGTGAATTGAGACAAAAATATGGAGTAAATTTAAAATTAATTATTTTTTTTTTACACAAATAGCATAATGTTGAGTTCAAAAAAAAATCTAACACTAAAAAAAAAAAT